TTTTATATCTACTCACCTGTGCCTTCCTTTTTCTCAAATCCCAAGTGGAGAAGGTGAAGTAAGGCTGTTGCACGCCACAGAAACATCTTTTATGAGATGCCAGACCTTGTCGAAAAGAAGGTGATCGTATTTGTCAGGGTTGTCCAGAAGCCCTCTAGAACCAACAGGATGCCTATGTGATTGTAAGAGGGAGTTTATTACATTGGTTTACACCATCAGAGTGGGAACTACCTAAAGTTTCTTTTGCTTTATTTTTAGTATTTTATTTATTATTTTTATTTTATGCGTATGAGTGCATCACCTGCATGTGTGTAAGTGCACCCATGCTGTGCAAATCCTGCAGAAGTTGGAAGAAGACATCGTATTCCCTGGAACTGGAGTTATGGACAGCCATTAGCCACCATTAAGGTGCTGGGAATTGAAACTCAGTCCTCTGTAAGAGCAGCCAGTGCTCCTAACTGCTGAGCCATCTCTCCAGCCCCAGTTTTTGTCTTTTGAATGCCAAAGCCCAATGGAAATTCCTGCTCTTTCTAGGTGATTAACAGAAATGTAAAGAAACTCACACTGAAATTATTAGTTTAACTTTAGGTAGACTATAAACTGTGAGTCCACTTTGGAACGCCATTAAGTGTCTGTGTTGTTGAGGCAACTGTAGCCATGTGATTTAACATGAGACTCAAAGAAGATTCTAAATAGTTATAGTTAGATAATAGTCATTATGGGCTCACTTTGTGTGTGTGTGTGCAAGCAGATACATTTTTATTATTTGCATTTTTTTTGACAGGTTTTTTAGCTCAGGCTGACCTTGAACTCCTGATCCTCTGCCTCCCACCTTCCACGCGCTGAACTTATGGGTCTGAGCCACCATGCCTGGCTCAGCCTTTTTAAACATGAACCGTAGGAGACAAGGAGGTTGGATTTGTTTAAAGCTGCATTTTTGTGAATAAATTGATGGGTTAGAATTGTTCTGGAAATTTGTAACTTCCTTGCTTTCTGGAAAGTTCACTCCTGTAGACATCCAGCAGAAGGTCTCTCTGCAAGGGCCTGTTTTCATCTTTGGCCGCTGTGGTCCCAGCTGCTGTGGCCCTTGAAGGGGCTCATGGGAATGCTGGGCCCTGTGTGTGTAAGCTTGCAATTTAAGGCCTCTAGGGCTTCTGTCCAGGTTGTGGTGTCCGCGGATGTGGCCACATCCTCAGCACGAGTTCATCCCAGAGCTGCCCCTCAGGTTCCTGCTTTTGTTACTATGGAGACTGCCTAGACAGTGGTGGGAAAGCCAAAAGTTTTTAAAAATAGTGACTTAATAACAAACTACGATTGTGGACACAACTGCTTGTTCCATAACTTCGTGTTTGTGAATCTCAAGGTACTGTGTGAGACAAGTTTACTTTTTTGAGTAGAGCAAAGCTTGAAGCTTTATTGAAAACTTTAACACACCGAGGTAAAGATGAGAGTTCCAAGTTTCTAATGTAGCTGAGCCCAAGGTGAACCAAAACTGATGCAGGGAGGTTAGGGTGCGAGCTTGCTAGGCATCACCTGAAACTGAAGAGTGACTTCACAGCTCAGAACAGTGACCAAGGCCACAGCTGTAAAGCTTAGAAAGGGGTAGCATTATCTATGCGCATACTCTGTCCCTAAAGCGCGCTGTAGTTATCTAGGTAATTTTCTTTGTGTGTGTGTAGATGTGTGGTGACTTGTGTACAGGTGCACATGTGTGTGCACCTGAGGTCAGTGTCTGGTGTCTTCCTTTACTTACCTCCTTGTCTTTTGAAACAGGGTTTCTCATTGAACCCCAAGCTTCTTGATTCAGCTGCACCACTTGGCTCCAGGGATCCCTTCCTGCAGCACTGGGGTTACAGATTGACACGACACAAAATTTTTTTTACATGGATGCCAGGATCTGAGCTCAGGTCCTCATGCTTACAAGTACCTTATTGACCTCTGTCCCCAGCCCATTTAGGAGATTTTCATGTATAATTTATACCTGGTTTTCATCCTGAGTTGAAAACTTGTCCTAAAACCTTGGATTTGGAAAATGAGTAAAATTAAAGACATAAGCAGCCTGGCATTTTAATTAGGGTTTCAGGAGCTGGAGAGTCAATAAGTATAGGTTATTTCACAATTAAAAAAGCAATGGGGATTGTATTAGTCACTTTTCTGTAATAGAAGCACTGACCCAAGCAATTTGAAGAAGGAAGAGTCTATTTGAGCTTACTGTTCCAGGGGAATTACAGTCCGTCATGGCGGGGAGGCGTCATGACTGGAGGTGGTTGGAGGAGGAGCAGCAGAAGCTAAGCTCTCACACCATCACACAGGCTACTTGAGATCAGGCAAGGCTTAAGAACTCTCTAAGCCCACCCCAGTGATGTGCTTCCTCCAGGATGGCCACACCTTCTAAAACCTCCCCAAACAGTGCCACCATCTGGGGACAAAATGTCCAAACACTTGGAGCCTGTGGGAGACATTTCCATTCACACCAACGCAGGGCTCACCTGGCAGGGCGAGGTTTCTGTGTTTTTACTCAAAGGAGAGAGAGACAGAGCAGGTGAAATAGGAGCGAAAGTTACGCCACAGAGTCGCAGTCTCAACTCACTGCAGGTTCCTCTAAGGTCTCTTTTCTGTTTTTTAATATTTTATTTATAATTTTTTATGTGTATACATGTGTTGCCTGCATGTAGATAAGTGCACCTGTGTCGTGCAATGCCCCCGGAGGACAGGAGAGGCTGTTGGATCCCCTGGAACTGGAGTTATGGGCAGTTGTTAGCTGCCTTGTGGGTGCTGGGATTTGAACCCAGGTCTTCTGCAAGAATAACCAGTGTTCTTAACTGCTGAACCATCTCTCCAGGCCCCCCCAAGGTCTCTTTTCATTTAGGATTTCTTGGTTTGTGTGGTCAAGCTCCATATTTGAAATACGTTAGGTGAAGAAGGGCATGGATTTAGAGGGACCTGAGATCAGGACCCTCAGTGAAACTCAGGGTTCTCTCTGTCTGTCTCTCTCTCTGTCTCTCTCTGTCTCTCACCCCTCTAGTCTTTTCTTTGAGGTTGGTGTCTTTGTCTTGACAGGAACAGGCAGTTCCCGTTCTCTTCTTTACAGTGTTAGGAACCAGAAAGATGTAGTAGTCTTGTATTCTGCCAGTCCTTCCCTTCTATACCTGGGGCCAGGACAGCAGGGTTCTATGATTGGTCTTGTCTGGGATAGGGAAGCCCATGCTTGGCTCTCTAGGTTTCCATGGCTAGAAAGGATGGAGCTCTTAAGCAGAGAGCAGCTCTCCTTCAGACCACGTGGCTGGTGCTGGGACAGAGAAGGATACAGCAAGCCTAGGTGCTGCTCCAGATGGATAAGCAGAGGTTTCCACCAGTGTTTTTGAGGAGGAGCACCTCCTTTACTACAATTCATTTCTCTGCAGCTCGGCTTTCCAGGGAGCATCATCCTGTAGGACCGAGTTTTGAGACAAAAACCAAGCATGAAAAGCTTTAGCATGATTACTTCCTACATGATTGACTTGCTGTTAGGAACATTTCATTGGTTTACTTTTGAGACAGGGCCATGCTGTGTAGCCCAGGCTGGTCTCCAATTTGTGATCCTCCTGTCTCAGCCTTCCAAGTGCTGGGATTACAGGTGTGTGCCATCATGCCCCGCTGTAGAACCTTTTCACTCCACAGTCATTAGAGGTATATGTTTTCATTTTATGGGATGAGACAGAGGTTCAGGGTGTTGAGATGAGATGACTTATCATAGGCCACATGAGTAGTGAAATCCAGAGCCGAACTGTTTCCCAGCCTGCTAGAGGGCTGTTACCCAGCCTACTCAGAGCTGTTATCCAGCCTGCTTCAGGGCACGTCTGCTCTGTGATGCAGATGTACAGAGTGAGTTATAGCAGCAGTGCCTCTGTTAAGTGCTGTGATAAAAACAAGTCCTGAATGGCATAGGGTATTAGAGAGTGATCATACAATGTACTGGTTTCCATACTTTTTGACTTTCAGTCCTGGCATCTGTGGTCAGATCTTTAGAACTGTTGACTGAGATAACCAACTTTTAAAGAGACAGTATTTATTTTGTCTCACAGTTCTGAAGGCTGTGGCCCATGATTGATTAGCCCCCTTATTTTGGGCTGTGGTAAAGGCATGTGTGGTGGGGGTGTGGGGGCAAAGCTGCTCAGCTACTGACCAGCAAAAAAGGAGAGGAAGGGAGGGCCTGGTCCCATAACCCCTTTGGAGACATGTCCCAAGATCCGAAGATCTTTCCCTGCTGTGTTAAAGTCCCTACCACCTTCCAGGAGGGGCGGAGCATTCAACACATGGTCCTGTGGGGGCCATTAGGTCCAGCTCTAGCAGAACCCTTTCTTTAAATGAATTGTGCTTCTTAGTCAATCACACATACATCCCATTCTGGAGAGGAGAGCCTTCCATATTCTAGAAGCTGTTTTGAGGTCTTGAGGGTTTTGGGAGACTGTTTAGGGAAGCCAAGGCTCAGATTAATTAAATGACTTACACAGTTTGTATCATCAGGATTTCAGCCATGTTCCCACCTTCCTATAAGATGAGTGGCAGTTTGTTGCTAATAAAGTAATCATAAAGCTTATGACACTCAAGTGTGGATAGGAATTACCCCAGTTTTGTGCAGTGTGGTTGGACTTCTGCCCGCAGCTCATCAATTCCTGTCGTGTGCTTATTGTCCACGTTTGCGCTCAGTTTTGAGTTGGACACCCGAATTCTGCCTGGGCCTTCAGAACTATGCACACCTCATTTCACGTATTTGGCTCTTCCCAAGACATGTCCATTTTCAATACATATTCAAATGGCAGCATGTCAGAATTTGGGTAAATGAATCTCTTAGGGGATAAGGTTTAGACTTTGTTGAAATCTTTTCCAGTTCTGAGCATCTCTTCACGGTTAGGGATGCAACGAAGCGGTGAGTTGGGCAGAAAGAAACGAATTTTTAGATTGAGCTAAAAATGCTGGTGTGTCTTTGACAAGGCCTGGCTTCCGCTTTGTCCCTTTAGGAGAGTCCAGCCCCACGCGCCGTGAGGCGGTGAAGAGGAGGACCGCGGAGTACCTGATGCGCGCCGAAAGCGTCTCCAGCCTGCACAGGGAGCCTCAGCTCGACGATGGGCCTCAGGTATGCTGCCCAGTCTCTCCAATATTTTCTCTGTTTTTCTTTGCTAACGCTCAGGTTTATTTACAATTAGAACTTTTTAAAGTTTTTCTATAATTTTCTTAAGTTATTATTTGAAAGAAAAGTATTGTAGCGCTCCACAAAAGGGTAATGAAGTGCAGCTCGTTTTCTTCTTTTCCCACCCTCCACCTGCCCCACTGCAGTACTTCTCTCATGGCTGTGGGCAAACATGGGACATGGTTTTCTTCGGCTTCCTGCTTAGGGCTCTCCATCTCCAGTCCGTCAGGGGATGGCCTAGAGGGAGCAGCTCCCTACGTGCTCGGATCTCAGTGGATCTGGAAGCAGAGGGATGAAGGCATGAGGCCCCGGCTCTCTCCCTTTCCCCTTTTTCCTCAGCCTGGACTCGGCCCATGGTGTGGTCCTGCCCACAGTCAGGGTGGGTCTTCCCTCCTGTCCTAGTTTGACCTCCATGGCTGTGACAAAACACTGACCACTTCCAACTCAGGGAGGAAAGGGTTTATTTGGCTTACATCTCTCAGGTCACAGTTCATCCGGGAGCCCAAGGTAGGAGCTCAGGACAGGAACCTGGAGGCAGGAGCTGGAGCACAGGCCATGGAGGAACGCTGCTTACTGGCTTGCTCCCCTGGCCCCTGCTCAGCCTGCTTTCTTATGCAACACAGGTCCACCTGCCCAGGGATGGCACCACCCACAGTGGGCTGGGCCCTCCCACATCACTCAACAATCAAGAAGGTGCCCCATGGACATGGCCACAGGCCAGTTCTATGGAGGCAATTCCCCAATCGAGGCTCCCTCAACCCAGGTGTGTCAAGTTGACACTGAAGCTATCCAGCACACTTCTTCAGTTAAACCGTTCTGGAAACGTCCTCACAGACACGGCCAGATGTTTGTCTTGTCAGTGATTCCGAGTCTGGTTCCCAGCGAAGATTAAGCTATTACACGTGCTGTGCCCTTCATCTCACATCTGCAGAATGCTGGTTTGTATTGTGGCATCTGTCTGAACCCAAGTTCTCAAAGTTAGAATTCTTGTATAGTTCCCATACAGTTTTATAAGTTTTTGTTAAAACCATTTTATGTGTAAGTCCTGTGAGGATTTACTGTAAGTTACCTGGAGCTGAAAAGACAGAATTCTAGCAGTGATGTTTTAGGTTATTTGGGACTACCTCAGCTCTCGACAAGGCCCACAGCTTTGGAGACATTGTAGTTTACTGCTTTTATGTCATGTCTGCATGGATTTGGCAAATTTCTGAAAGCTTTTCCGTATGGTTTTAAAGTTTTTATGATGGAGTTTTTCTTTTTAAAATGTTTTATTTTTATTTAATTATGTGTATACGTGTGTGTCTGTGTGTGGGCATGTACATGTGAGTGCAGTTGTCTGCAGATGCCAGAGTATTAGATCTCCTAGGTGCTGGACTTACAGATGGTTGTGAGCCACCTAACATGGGTGCTGGGAGTTGAGTTTGGGTCCTCTGGAAGAGCAGTACGTACTTTTAACTGCTGAGTCATCTCTCTAGTCCTTTTTTGTTGTGTGTGTTTATTTCTGAGACAGGGTCTCCCTATAGCCCCAGGTGGCCTGGAACTTGCTATGTAGACCAGGCTGGCCTCCTTCTCACAGAGATCCAACTGTCTCTGCCTCCTGAATGCTGGGATCGAAAGCTTATGCCACCATACTCAACCAGATATAGTTTTTCTGGAGATGGGAGAAAGTGTTTAGTTTATTTCCTTTGGTGATCTAAGAGGTAGGTAGGTTTGGACACATCAGATTCTGCCACTTGAAACCATGAAAGATTCAACAAGATTACATTTATTTATTTACCCTGTGTGTGTGTGTGTGTGTTTGTGTGTGAGTGATATGCCACAGCACACACATAGAGGTCAGAAGACAGCTATTGGGAGTAGGTTCTCTTCCCACAGGTCCCTGGGATTGAACTTAGGTTGTCAGGCTTGGAGGCAAGTGCCTTACCCCCTGAGCCATCTTAGCCAGTCTTCAACATGAGTCTTTTTTTGAGATAGGATCTCTCTGTAGCCTCAGCTGGCCTGGAACTTACTATGTAGACCAGGTTGGCCTTGAACTCACAGAGAGTGAATTCTGCCTCTGCCTCCCAAGTGCTGGGATTAAAGGCATGTGCCACTACGCCCGGTGGTTTATAGTATTTTCGCACATGCATATAACATACTTGGAGTGGTAGGTAGGTGTATGAGGCCTCCAGTTTAGTTTTTGGTTTGGAGAACAGAACGATGAGATCAGTAAGACTCTTAATTACTTTAAGCATAACTTCTAATGATAATAAAGGTGGGATCTAAGGGGGAAAGCTGATTGTATTAAATTGTACACTTCATTAAGCGTCTGGTAAGACTTGCTGTACAGCATCAAACATGATGCACACAGGAATAGTACAGAGCACCACAGCACACAGTCTCTCTTCTTGCAAACCTTATAGAACAATAGAACACACAACTCTGTAGCCGAGGAAACAGCTAGAGGGACTGGCAAGAGCTGTGTGGAATAATGGGAAATCGGGCCAGAAGTGTAAAGGGGGTGCTACTGATTCTGGGCTGATACATGGTTGGATTTATGTATCTGTTTATTTTTAAAGCAAGAATGCTGGGGCGGGGGGAGGAGGAAGAGGACAGAGAGAGAGAGGAAGGACATGGAGAGTACGGTATCTTTCTTTTAGTCTGCAGTGTTTTCATCCCTGTGTCTCCCTGTGAAGCCCGTCCCCTTGCTGGTCAGGAGCAGGAGTGGTTATTTTCTCAGGATGCGCTTAGTGAACCCGTTCTTCCTCAACTTCATCCATCTCTGAGTCCGAGTTCAGCCAGCACGGAGAGAGGCCTGGTGGACGTTTCTCTCTGGTCCAGCTGGTGGAGGTTATGCTGGAACCTCACTGGCTTTTATATTTCTTAGGCTGGCCTCTTCCACACTGTCCCGGCTGTGGCTCCTTCTGCCCGTACTTTACCATCATTCACATTAATATCCTATTCAAAAAAAGGCACAAAAGAAACAGAGGACTTTCCCATCTTTTCTTGGTGATTTCATAACTGAAAAGCTCCAAGAAAATCTGAGTAGTGATTCCTGGTAAAAGCGAAATAAGTTTTGTTTGAAGTAAAGGTGAAATCTTAACTGAGACAGGTTTCTTCTCTTTTTAAAAATTATAGATGACTCTGAATGATTTAGAGATTAGTTAATAGAGGATTTTCTATTGTGAAATTCTTGTGAAAGCTCTAATAGCATTTTTGCTATTTTTGTTAAAGAAGTTTTAACTCAAGATCATTAAATGTTGAAAAGAGGCCATAAACTATTTAAATACAGGACATAAAAGATTGTAGTTTGCAAAGTGTAAGCTCCTTTCATTGATGCCACAGGGAGGCTATGAGTGAACATTGCCACGCAGTTTCCTGAGCATTGCGTGGGTTTTGAAGATCTGAGAGGACAGCCTGGCTGCACTCCTGTGTGCCTTGTTTGCTGGTGTCATTGGCTGTGTGTCACCAGGCACCCTTAGAAAACATTCAGAATCAAGTATTGTTTTCCCTCAGAGCACTGGGCTAGGCAGAGATGGCAGTGAGGTATGAGCTCAGGAACAGGCCTATGGTTACATGTCAGGTGGAGCGTGAGCTCAGGAACAGGTCTGTGGTTACATGTGAGGTGAGGTGTGAGCTCAGGAACAGGTCTGTGGTTACATGTGAGGTGAGGTGTGAGCTCAGGAACAGGTCTGTGGTTACATGTGAGGTGAGGTGTGAGCTCAGGAACAGGTCTGTGGTTACATGTGAGGTGAGGTGTGAGCTCAGGAACAGGCCTGTGGTTACATGTCAGGTGGGGCATGAGCTCAGGAACAGGCCTCTGGTTACATGTCAGGTGGGGCGTGAGCTCAGGGACAGGCCTCTGGTTACATGTCAGGTGTGCCAGAGAGCTAAGTGAGGCTTTGAGTGGTGTTGGGCTGGCTGTTTGCCTAGGAAGTATTTGCAAAGCTGAAAATCCATGCAAGAGGTTGAGTTTAGGACCCCTGTGCCCCTGAGTATTTGGAGACTGGCATTCAGATTTTTTTCCCCTTTTGTTCTTGATCGCTTAATTTCCTTCAATAGCAATGGCTCATTCTCGGGTTTCTTAAAATTTAAATTTTATTTTATTTTTTTTTGTGTATGAGTGTATTGTCTGCATGCATGTAAGTACACCTGTGTGTGCAATGCCCATGGAGGTCAGAAGAGGGTGTTGGATTCTCTAGAACTGGAGTTATGGACAGTTGTTAGCCAACATGTGGGTGCTGGGAACTGAACCTCAGCCCTCTGTGGAGCATCCAGTGCTCTAACCACTGAGCCGACTCTCCAGCCTGCCAGCTGCTCCCTCTTGACACTATCTGCTAAAGTAGCCAATATGTGAAAAGTCTTACTTTTTCCATCAAGGAAATCAGCCACGTTGCCTAGGAAGTCACTGTCCTTTGAAACAGTGGGCTGCTGTTATCGGCCATTTACAAGTAAAAGGCTCTTTAAAAAGATCTAGTTACTGGTAAAGACTGGTAAGTCTTGTCTGTCTCTCTGTGTAGCCTCAGCTGCCCTTGACCTTGTGTGCTCTTCCTGCCTCAGCCTCCTGAGTGCTGGGATCATGGCATGTATCTTTACACCTGGCTGCACTTAGTTCTCTCTTTTCTGCTAGTTTTGTCATTGTAGACGGTGTGCCTTTGTTGATTCTGTTTTCTCATCTGGGAAAAAAGAGAACCTAAGCATGTTGAATTTGATCTTTAAAGCTTTTTGGTTCTGAAAATTCTATGAATTTTTGTTTCCTTTTGCCATCTGAGGATAGGAATAACTTAAATGCTTCCTAAGTATTAAGAAATGCAAGATTTTAAAATATAGCATTTTTATTAGTTTCTTGAGAATTTCCTATATACATACAATGTATTTTGGTCAGATTCACTCCCTTTTGCTCCCCCAACTCCTGAAAGATCTGCTCCTCACCTCCCTACCTCCTCCCAGTTTCCTGTTCTCTTTTTCTTTTTTTGTCTTTTTGAGATAGGATCTCCCTGTAGCCCCAGCTGTCCTGGAACTCTCTATGGAGACCAGGCTGGCCTTGAACTCACAGAGATCCACCTGCCTCTGCCTCCCAAGTGCTGGGACTAAAGGCGTGCGCCACCATGCCTCGCTCAAGTCTAGTTTGTGCTGCCCAAATATTCTTGGGTGTGGGGCTGTCCATTGGAGCGTGGTTGACCTACCAGGGGCCACGCTCTTAAAGAAAACTGATTCTCCCTCCCCCATCAATACAGGATTTTAAAAATGGTGACTTTATTTCATGGCCGATCTGCTCCTCACCTCCCTACCTCCTCCCAGTTTCCTGTTCTCTTTTTCTTTTTTTGTCTTTTTGAGATAGGATCTCCCTGTAGCCCCAGCTGTCCTGGAACTCTCTATGGAGACCAGGCTGGCCTTGAACTCACAGAGATCCACCTGCCTCTGCCTCCCAAGTGCTGGGACTAAAGGCGTGCGCCACCATGCCTCGCTCAAGTCTAGTTTGTGCTGCCCAAATATTCTTGGGTGTGGGGCTGTCCATTGGAGCGTGGTTGACCTACCAGGGGCCACGCTCTTAAAGAAAACTGATTCTCCCTCCCCCATCAATACAGGATTTTAAAAATGGTGACTTTATTTCATGGTCTTTGTTCTTTCTCTGATCTTAAGCTTTCATAGCTGTTCAAAGACTAAAGAGCAGTTTGGCGCTCACCTTGCGTGGTCTTCCCTGGCTCAGCTCCGTCAGCAGCGTCACTGCCTCAACCCTTCCTTCCCGTTGCTTATTCCCATACAGAACTCTTGCCATCTCAGCTCTCAGGGGGATTGCTTATAGACGTCCCTAAGTTTGTGATTTGGTTTTCCTCTGTCTTCATTTTGAATGCTTCCCCCACAGCAGTGGAGTCCTTTCATCTGGTGCACTGCCCCTCCCCAACTTCATTCCCACGTGCCATTTAAAGTCATGGCTCTTTTTCAAGCTGCAGTTCATCGCAGGCTAAGTGGTGATGCCTTTCTGTAGCCGTGCCATTTTAGAAGACTTTGATGTGCTGGCCTATCGTGCATGAACTGTGAACTTCTTGAGCTGAGGCCATTCATGCCTTGTGAGAATCTGTCCTGTTGGCCAGCTTTTTAACTACTCTGACAAAATATCTGAGGAGTTTTGGCTCATGGTTTCAGAGGTTTCAGCCTGCCCACTTGGCTCTGTGGTTTTGGGGCCTGTGCTGAGGCCTCACTAGTGATAGAGAGCCTGTGTTGGAGCATCAGGGAGGCAAGCAGAGTCCGGGGTGGAACATCTCCTCAACAGCAAGCCCTGGTGACCCACCTCCTCCACTTAGGGGCCACTTGCAAAAGCGTATTAGTGCCTCACCCAGTAGCTCTGTAAACTGTGAATCCATAATGGATTCTTTCATGAGGTCAGAGCCCTCAACACCCAGTCCCCTTCCAGAGGCATCGCCTCTGAACATGCTGTGTGGACCAGGCCTTCAGCATGGGGCCCTCAGAGTCTGAAGTGTAGGGTCGCTGCTTTACTTGTTGTGTGTGCAATGGCTGCTGGGGCTTCCGTAGTTTGCTTTCTTTGCTGTTGAACCTCGGCAGTGAACCAGTGTGCTTCTCTGGAAACTGGAAGACCCAGTGACAGTGTGGGAGGTGGGTGCTGTGTTTGGGGCATTGGCCATGTTTTCAATGACAGATGTAAGGCATTAAATGCCATTTGAGGCATACTTTCTAACTTTTGTAACTCTGCCCTGATACCTCTTTTTGCTAAAATTACAGCCTTTTCTCTTTCTTAGTAATGTGGGGGTGGGGTGGGGTGGGGTGGGGGTGTTTATTTTTGTTTTATGTATATGAGTGTATTGCCTGCATGTATGTAAATGCACCTGTGGCATGCAGTGCCCGTGGAGGTCAGAAGGGCATCGGAGCCATCCAGAGCTGGAGTTACAGATGGTTGTTAGTTCCGTGTGGGTGCGGGGAATTGAACCTGAGTTCTCTGGAAGAGCAGCCGCTGCTCTTAACTGCTGAGTCATCTCTCCAGCTCCAAGTTTAAGCTTTTAAGGAGGCAGAGGTGCATCTGTTTTTTATAACATTTATGAATGTCTCATGAAGTACAATAGCATTTGTTGAAACATATCTTAAGAAATCAAGAAATTATATCATTTAAAAATTATTATTATTTAGTGAAATTTGAAAACTTTCTCAAGCCCGATGTAGTGGCACATGCCTTTAATCCCAGCACTCTGGAGGCAGGAGGCAGGAAGCAGGGGCAGACGGGCCGAGGGGCCAAAAAACTTTCTCAAGTTTAAGTATCTCCACTAAAACACAAAATTGGAGCTGGTAGGGGCAGCTCAGTTGTAATCCTAGTGCTGGGCAAGTACAGACAGCAGGATCCCTGGAGCTTGCTAACCAGCTAGCTAGTCTGTGACCTCCAGTGAGAGACGCCCTCTCAAAAACTAGAATGATCCAAGCAGATGCGCAGCTTTGACCTCTGGCCTACACTTGCCTGTACATATACACACACTCCCATCCACCCATAAGACTTCTTAGCCAAGGTCAAACTTGACTACAAAGCAAGTTCAAAGCCAACCTAGATTACATGAGACCCTGCCTACAAAAACCAACAAAAAATTCCCATGCAATTGAAATTAGCACTTCCTTGCTACACCTGTAGATGAGGATGCAAACATTGATGCTTTAAGAATTGCTTTCTTTAGAAGAATTTGCAGATGGTCGCTTTCCCTGCCATAAATGCCCTAATTCATCCAGCAACCCTGTCCTAGCTTCCCTCCACTTCCTGCTCCTCATCTCAGCTCTCCCTCCTTCTAGCTAACCAGACACTAGCAGTTTGTTATGTCCTATGTGCAAGGGACTGGGAAAGCCACAAGAAGAATTTCCTGTCGTGGGAGCTCTGTCCCACCACGGGACATGATGGCTGTGTAGGGACACGAAGCATTCAAAGTGGGGTCTCAGTAATTCCCTCATCGTGCGTGATGGATCAGAGCGGTTTGCCTTCCCCTCTGCATTCTAATATTCTTTTGTCGATAAGTCCTCTGGACTCCTGTGAGGAGGCTTTGTGTCTCCTGACATCCTCTGAGCATCATTGTGTCAACGCAAGCAATCATTGCAGAATGCTTCTGGGTGTCCGATGGAGGCGTCTCACCACCTTTCTAATCTAAGGGCTTATTTTACTGTCGGGGAAAACTACCACCAACAATTGGAAGTTAACACTGTGTTTTAATTATGTGCAGCAGTGACATAGCCTTTTCTATACTCACTGATCTTCTTTAGTTAATAAACTGTTTTCCACATCACAGATCTTCAAATATTTGAAGAAAATTTTCTTTTTCTTGTAAATCACCCCCCTGACCTCTGCACTAGTAATTACTGGCTACATGATAGAGTTTAAAAAGTTTTCCACACTGTTTGATGGTTTTTCTTGTTGAACAAGGATCTGCCAATTCCTCTTAAAACACAGTATATATTTAAGTATTTAAATACTTTATTTTATAAAGACACACAACAGTCCTGTAGTGTTGTGGTCCCTTGTTCCAAGCTTGTCTGTTAACTTGTGTTGTTGTTGTTTCCTTCCTCTGAATTATTGTGGGTCTGTCTGGGGTAAACATAAGGCTGTCATTGATGCCTGGTCCACTTACTCATTTGTTAGAAATTTTCATGGTAGCTCCAGAAACAGTAGCACTCATTAGCTTTTCTTTTAAAAATTTTGTTTTCGATAGTATGATTTGTTACTTTTTTCTTGCTCTTTCCTTTTGATTTTCTTTATTTTAGAGTTTTGATTTTTCCATTACAGACAAACAGGAACTTTCTCCTTTTATCTTTCTGTTCTCTGATTTATGATAAATTTAGTTTCCTTTGGCCTGGCATTTGCTTCAGCGGGCAGTCTTCCTTCAAGTACCTCCCTGATTGATGTGTAATCTTTGATATCTTCCATTAGCCTCCAGGATCACTAAGTTCAAGGCCCCCTTGGAACCTAAGGAGCCCTGCCGCGGAGCTGAAGGCCTTCAGAGTCCTTGGGGTGATTGACAAGGTAATTCTTCAGCGTCTCTTCAAGAGTTCAGTCATAAATCGACTGCATGCTGACATTCGGTCTTTGAAGCTTTGGATCTTAAGGATATGAAACAAAAGGAGAAAATGACTCAAATGCATCTGCACTTTAAAATAACAAAAGCAGCAGAGGAAAAGCTTTTATCTAAGCAATTCATGTAAGGTCATGCAAAATATATTTGCGCAAAGGAGAAGGTGCATGCTTGTTAGCATTCAGTCGAGTAAGGGGTTTTATTTTCTAAAAGTGAGGTTGTAGGAAGATGTGCTTTGTGACACTCAGACTTGCAGTCATGCTAAACATGACTTAATGTAGCCACTGTAATGGTCAAGATGAAAGTTGGCATTCCCAATAACCCGAGTCTATTGAACTCTGACTGTATGTCATCCTCATAGTAGGCATTTTATATAAAACGGTTTACAGGGTCCTTCCTACAGTCCCATTATTTGTATCTTAGTGGGAAAATGATAAAAAAAACATGTGGAGTAACTTATCCCGAAGTTTTAGCCAACACAGAGGAGAGCTGGGCTCAAACCTTGATCTTGGTTCACTCTAAAAACTCTTTTTCCCAGTACATTAAACCCATCTGCACACACATGGCCTCACGGCCACACAGCTACACGGACACACACAGACAGACAGATACATAGACACACACACACTCGCACGCTCACGTGTGTTCATAATTTAAAATTTGGAATCAAAGTACTGTGATGACAGATACCTGCCATTGAGCAGTGCAGGTTTGGTGACCTCTCAGCTGTCCTGCGTGTTGGTCAGTACCAGGCCTGTCAGGTAGTTGGAGTATTTTGGATATGTTTGTTCTTCCATTTTAACATCAAAGAAAATGTCTTGTTTAATGTTATTATATAAATGAATCTAGACTTCTTCACCAGTAAGGTTCTTTTCTGAAGCACCTTAGTGTTGTTTTTGTTCATATGGTGCTTCTTGCGTTTTGAACTATGCTTGTGATTCCATGTTAAAATTTATCTGGATACAGTGTATCTCAGGAAGTCCAGACAGGAGCTCACAGTCTGGAGACCTCCGAAGAGAACATTAAGTCCCATATTTTGTGAAACTCTTGGTGTTTTACTCTTTTAAGGATTGTTTTCTTAGATCAGTGTGACTGAAGTTTGTACATAAAGAATTCTGAGTCATAGGGATTTTTGTGTTTGTTTCAGTCTGAAATATCCCCGACTGTGTTTTCCTTTGGGCCTTTCATTGTGAAGAACATTTTCTGGGAGTAGGCAGAGCCAGGCCGTAATCGGGTGGTTGCCTAGACTTGTTTCTCTTGATGCTGTGACCCTTCATTGCTGTCTGTGAGCTTCAAGCCACTCTGTGGTTCCTGTGATAGAGAAGAGCCCTGCAGGTTTATACAAACTGAGCTGTGGCAGTGGAGGAGTCCCTAGTCTGTAGTTGAGCACAGGCCTCCCCTCTGTTAACCTAGGAAATGTGCTTGATGTTTTACAGAGGCCATTTTCTAAGTAGAGAGAAGGAACTCTGTATCTTGGAATTAATAAGCTTTGCAAATAATCTTGAAGTTCATAACATAATGCCTGCTTACAAACCTCCAATAGGTAGATTTTTTTTTTAAAATTGGGTTGTTAGAGATAAATTTCTTTCTCTTTTACTGAGGAGCACCTTAAATTTGCATTTTAGAAACTTGGAGTTTGGAAGAGAAGTGTTGAATAATTCAAAAGTCTAGAAAGCACATAGCCTAGATAAACATAGATTCTGTACAACAATTTCTCTAATTGTTTTATTATAGTATTTGCTATTTATGAATTACTTTGAGTTCTTAACAAAGGACAGTCATGTATTGAACTTTATTAGGATAAGAATTTTATAAACCTCTGTCTAGAAAGTAAAGCAGACTTATTCATTAGTATGTAGACTGTAAGTTTCATGAGAACAGTGTTGTGCCTTTATTGCTCACTGTATTGTTCGTTTCTAGAATGATGCCGAGCATGTAACGGGGCACTCAATAAGTAGATGAATGCGTGAATTGAAATGGCAAGAACTTAAAATATATTGTAGATAGAGTGACACCTACTGGTATGATTTGAGACTGCCGCATGGTGCCATTCTAAAGGTGACTGCTCACTGGGGTCTTTCCCCACAGGGACAGTCATTTCACAGCTGTTTGCTGGCTTGGTATTCAGACAGTAGTAAACGACGTCTGTTTCTTGATTGAGATTATAAAAGCCTTCATTCACATACTTACACAACAAGGAATTTAAGTACCAGGGCTCTTGGAATATAAATAACTAGGTGCCCATTCAGTGGTGGGAATGATGTGCCTGGTGAAGGCCCTCAGCCAATCAGAGGAAGAACAGCCAGGAAGAGGATGCGTTTAGCCTGATAGAATCATGTGTAGGCTTCAGGTATGTGAGGGCCAGGTGGAAGAGCTTTATCTGTGTTTGCCGAAATCTGGAGGGCAGATGGGGATGTAGATTATGCCAGAACAAGTGCATGCTAGGATCATTTCAGGAAAGCCAGGACATCAGGCTCCACTGGGAGAGAGCAGTATGGAGTGAGACTGCTTGTTAGTCATGTCCACTCGACCCATCACCAGTACACACCTAGAACCAGAGGAGGCCAAACTACAGAAAAACAGTTTAACTCATGATCAGAAATACCTCCAAGGATTAATATCTTCACCAAAGGCAGACTAGATCCAGACCAGTGGTGGGGTTGCTGTGCATGGAATCCAAGCATGTAACAGATTTTTATATTAGATAACTGTTTAAAGAGTTCTTTAAGCTCCCAGATGGATGTATATGTATTTTCCTGGTGCAGTTGTGAGAGAAAAGTGAGGTGAGTGGAAAACTATGGTGGGTGTAGTGGGTGACCACTGTTACCCTGGAAGCTGGGTGGGTGCCATGCTTTGTGATGTGTGTGTGCTGGTTGGTTTTTGTCAACTTGACACAAACTAGAGTCTCCTGGGAAGAGGGAACCCCAGCTGAGGAACTTCCTCCATCAGACTGGCCTGTGGGCGTGCCTGTGAGGCGTTTTCTTTTTTTTTAAATTTTTTTATCTATTATTTTTATTTTATGTGTATGAGTCTATTGCCTGCATGTTGGTAAGTGCACCTGTGTCATGTAGTGCTTGTGGCGATCAGAAGAGGGTATCAGATCCCCTGGAACTGGAGTTATGGATGGTTGTTAGCCACCATATGGATGCCGGGAATTGAACCCATGTCCTCTGGAGGAGCAGCCAGTGCTCTTAACCACTGAGCTATTTCTCCAGCCCCATGAGGCATTTTCTTAATTGTTAATTGAGGTAGGTAGGACCAGCACTGTGGGTAGTGCTGTCCCCAGGCCTATTGTCCCCAGGCTGATGGGCCATAACCTGTAAGCAAAATTAACTCTTTCCTCCCTAAGTTGGTGTTTTGCCACAACAACAGAAACCAAACTAAGACCGAAAACTGCCGGAAGCTGTTTTTTTCCTGGGAAGATTGTGGATGGATTTTGGAATTCTGGGCTCAAGGCATCATTGAATGCTCATGGCTTGATGGGCTGTTCTGTGGGAGCTGGGAAGATAGTGCTGGGAGCAGTGTAGACAATAAAGGCCTGGCTTGTGAAGTTTTAGGAGGAAATACAGACTCTCTTGGAGCTGTTTGTGTGTTATACTTGAATTAAAATTCTGTAAAACTGAAACCTTTGCTTTATTGGGACAATCAGTGCTGGTCAGTGGGAGCTAAAACAAATCAGCTGTGATAAACAAGAGACTAGCATCATTGAGGTGACATCTTCTGGGGAATATTTCCTCAGGGTCAGCACATAGAAGCTGTGGTTCAGAGGTGCCAAGTCTGCATCTCCATCTGGCAGCCACACTTGACAACGTGGAAGAGTCTCCGAGGTGGTGCTGGCTTTGAAGGTGTGACGGGATCATGGAGAGCAGGCCAAGAGAGGCCATCGGTGAAGGTGCAGCCCCAGTTGCTGAGGAGTTCCCAGCACACTGGAAATGCCAGGGTTGTGGGACATCCACCAAAGACAGGGATGTGTATGGCACAGAGCTAGCTTGAGCCTGCCTGACAAGTTGTGTATGCTACAGGTAGCAGAGCCAGAGAGGGACTGCCTCAGCCTTCTGGAGTCCAGAAGACTGTGAGTAAATCCTAGAAGCTGGATACTGACCTCTGTTCTTTGACTTCGGTTTCGGCCTAACTGTGCCTTGGAAAGGAGGAACCTCAATTGAGGGATTTCCTCCATCATACTGGCTGGCCCATGGGCAATGTCTTCGAGGATTTTCTTAATTGCTAATTGATGTAGGAGGGTCCTGGAGGGCCCAGTCCAAGGTGGGTGGTACCATCCCTGGACAGGTGGGCCTAGGCTGTATAAGAGAAGTAGTGGAACAAGCCTGTAAGCAGTGTTCCTCCATGGTCTCTGCTCCTGTTCCTCCTTGGTTTCCCTTGGAAAGCCAAATAAGCCCTTTCCTCTCCAAGTTGGTTTTGGTCAGTGTTTTAATCACAGCAACAGAGAAGTAAACTGGGACAGAGTGTGTGAAATATGGAAGCATGCTGCGTGTGTCCATCCGTGTGTACTAGGAGTGCTTATTATAGGTAATCTGCAGCTGACTCAGATACCTGGTTTGGTGGTTTGGCTGAAGTTCATGGTTATACACCTTCCAGTATCCTGTCTTGTCAGTAATGTCACTGTCACTCTGTCCTCCTCAGGGAAAGCTGGTTGAGGGGTAGATAGGACTCCATAGTATGTTGCAACTTCTTGTGAGTTAAAACAAGTTCAAAACAAAAAAGGCCGGAGAGAACACTGGGCTGGATCGCCCAAATTCATTGCTCCTCTGTGAAAAACATCTTGAACAGGGTGCTTTACAAATTGCTGTTTTTTTTAAAAAAAAAAATTACTATTTTTATTTTTATGTGTATAAGTGTATTGCCTGCATGTATGTGAGCGCACCTGTGTGGTGCAATGCCATGGAGGTCAGAAGAGGGTTTCGGATTCCCCTGGAACTGGAGTTAAGGATAG